GTGCCCTTTTGCGTCAGTTTTGCTTCACACTTGCCTCACACGTTTGTGATGACGTACTGACGGCGTACGTCAGTTTTGCTTCCTGTTCTCCTCTTCTTTTTTCTTCCTCCTCCCTTTTTTCTACTACGTAAGCTTTTTTCTCTTGCCTTTTGGAGTTTTGGAGGCACATTAGAAACTAAATTGAGCAAAAATTTGAAAATTTTGAAAATTGTTGTACACGTTACATAGTCGATGTTCATTGTAAATACACGAGCGTTCGTCGTGAGCACGCCTTTTATACACCAGGCGTGGGGGTGACGCACGTGAGACGCATTCCCGGTGTGCTCTCGACTTTGTTCGTTAGTGCTGAGGGCGTGCGCCTTACTCAACACGCAAAGGGCACTTGCTCCTTCATTGCTTGCGACGTGTGTCTTGCACAACGCGCGTCTCTCCGTGCGAGGGGAGCAAGTTACGTTTGCGGCTTCGCACTTCGCAGGCTATTCGTAGAAAATTTTGGACATGTCCAACATCCTCCGTACGTGCTTACGGGCTGTCTGCGAACTCGAAATTGCGTAAGAAGGCATTGAGTGAGATTCTGCGCAAAATTTGAACGCCGCAAACAGCCCGTAAGAGCCCGTACGGTCGGTTGTGACCGAGGCTTATGCAGAGACGTCATTGGACAGGTTAGGTAATTTTGGAATGGTCTTCCATACGCAATTTATGGAGATCCGGCTTATCCCGTTAGAAGGTATTTGTTGAGTCCCTTCAGAGGAGCAAATTTGAGTGCTGAAGACGAAGAATTCAACAGGAGAATGTCCTCTGTGCGGGAATGCGTCGAGTGGGAGTTCGGAAACTTATTGTTACACTTTGCCTTCCTGCATGGACTTTCGAAAGAATTAAAAAGTTCTGTTGTCTCCTGTAGCCAAGTACTACTTAGTAGGTGGTCTTCTGGTCAACTGCCATACCTGTGTGTATGTCAATCAGATGAGTAGGTACTTTTAACTAGATCCTCCCACCTTGAAGGACTATTTAGCATGAACTGTACACGTGTACATTGTGCGTATGAGAAAGTTTAAGAGTAAAATGTAAAATTCATACCGCAAGCAAACATTTATTTAAATGAAATCTTGAATAAAAAACTAATGTTTTAACAAAGATTCAGCCCATGTGTATCTTGCAGGCAGCAAGAGCCTAGTATGTCAATTCAGTTTTTCTTTTTAACCAAAGACAAGCATATCCATCATTTGCTTGTCTCTCAATTTGAGCTTCTCGCTCTTTCTTTACTAATTCAAAGCGTTCTTTCTCGAAGGCCAACTTGTCTTTCGGGTAACTGACGTAATCTGCTGGTGAATCAGTACGGCGCTTCTTAGTTGGCGGCAGGTTGTCGCAATTTTCAGCTGAAAAAATAAGCGTGTCACCAATGAATGCAGCGTCAGTTTTTGTTACTGATATAATAAATATTAATCAATATTTACTATTAAAGACAATTTCATGTAAAGAAAGATGTGCTGCCCCTACTTTTATTTATAATTCATTTGTTCAAATACACAAAACAGGACGCCATGTGACTTTCGAAACAAGGCTTCATAAAATTTGCATTAAAAGTCAAGGAGACATGTCCTGTCAACTAAAGGAGAAAATCGAGCTACTAGTAGTATCTTACTTAACGGCACTTAGCTTACGGATATCCTGCTTGTTATGCGTCAAGTGCAGACGGCTAGTCTACAGACCACTTATAAAGGCATGTGTACTCGTAACAACTGCTCACAAAATGATGACCTAACAGTCTTAAAATACAATCAGTCACGCGTGCGGAAGGCCAGTTCTGACTGCCTTGTGGTCAGTGGAAAATGCCTTTTTACGGCTATAACCTATATTTCAATAGTAACATAAAACATAGACACAAATAACAGAGACAACATGTTTCACATATATTGCAAAAATAAAATGCCCAATAAGATTTTAGCATAGACATTATCAATTTTGTTTTCATAATATTATGCTGATTTGTCAAACCGTTTTTCATTGACGGGTAGCAATCTAGCTGCGGATAATGTTCTCTCTAACCGTATGTATACACGTCACTAGACAGCAAAATATGATGACCTAAACGTAGTCGTTCACCTAAACGTACAAGTGCGAAAGCTCTCTATTGTTGGCAACTCCCATACTACTAGTTGCCTCACAGTTTCAGAATTGAATAACTGCATTTTTTTTTTTTTTTTTTTTTGCTCTAAGCAGACAATGTATTATAGTAAAGAGATTTATCACATAAAAAGGACTATAAGCAGTGAATGCTATATTATATACAGAAATGCAATACAACTACAAAGATAGCAAATAAATAAATAAATAAATAGATAAATAAATGCATCGGGGTTGTATTGTATTAACATTGTTAACATGTACATGTACCGGTAGGTGCGATATTCAACAAACGGGGTACAGGCCTTAGGGTATAATGAATAGAGCTCAGTGACAGGAAATGGGACCAGGACGCAACCAACCATAGGTATAAAATAAACTCTTAAACAACGCTGTAATGGATTAACATGATTTACAAGTACGTACAATATACCGTTATATGGCAAGCGAATGGCTCACTAGGGAACGATGGGTTGAGCGTGGGTAAATGGTGATCTGGTGATCTAGCAGCAGTTTCTCGATAAATAAAATAAAATAAATAAATAAATAAATAAATAATTAAATTCATGAATACATAAATAAAGTCAGTTACTTTGGCGTAGTTGCTTAGGTTGATTAGGTTGTAACACTGTTTCTGATAGGGTAAAATGTGACCATGCAATCTTGGAAATAAGGTCCTTATCCTGGAAACGTTTTTATTATTTGTGAAACCGGGTCCTGATCACACAATTATTCTTCACATTCAGACATACATGACACACTGCGGGGGTTAACACCAAATCTCTTATAATGGTCGGTAAATATATCCCATTTCTTTTTTGTCTGGCTTTAGGGCAAACAAACGATCTGATTCTGGCGCGACGTTTTCCACTAAATTAGTTGTGTTTCTGCAACAGCAATTTTTGAACAACTGGAATCCGCTTGTGGCATCGGAACTCATCGTCTACATATAACGGGCAGTTTTCTTTTGGCGTATTTCCTGGCTGCCATCTAATGTTTGTAACTGTCAGAGCTTGTGAAGCGACACCGACGCCAAAGAAGGTAAAAAGGCAAACTGCTGGATGTGCAGCATATCCCAAGAAACAAAACTCCCAACTACAAAACAAAATAAAACAAATCAAGAAGAAGAATAAGAATCACTGTCACGAAAGGGTGTCTTCACCATTCTACTGTTAATGTAGTTGTCCCATTCCTCATGTAAAAAACAAAATATGTATATATATATATATATGGCCCTAGATGATATGCACCTCAGAAAGGTCTAAAGACCATTGTTGGCTGGACAAAGTAGTCTACAACACATACAGCATCTGCAAAACTAAAAACCTAGTTGGTTATATGTTTATATGAATTCACTATAGACCTAAACTAGTTTCTTCTGATGTTACAGGTACATTTATCTTATATCTCTTAGAATGGACCTATGCATATAAACAACGGTTCATACCTACCCAGAATGGGTCACTTTCCAGGCTGTACTTGTACCAGGAAAAAATTGGAAACTGAATAAATGTTAGCAAATTAGCGACGGAAACTTGAATTCCAAACGCCTTCCCCGTGTGTTCCTTCGGAAACCTAAAGTAAATAAAACGTTGTGTTGGAAGAAAATCTGTCCGGCGATTAACTATATCATTTCCGCATGATGCTTTGTTACTTCTATCTTGACACAAGATACCTTAAACTATCTTTAGATCTGAATGACTACATCAACTCACAAAATTGGGAACAAAATTACATTCATAAATTATGATCATTGAAATCACTGACCAATTTGTATTTTTCTTTGCCAAAAAAAAAAAAAAAAAAAAAAAAAAAAAAAAATATATATATATATATATATATATATATATATATATATATATATATATATATATATAACAAATAAACAAATAAATAAATAAGGAGACTATTATGCAGATGCATAAAAACAACAGGCAGAGAAAGTAAACTAAGTATATATTATTGCCGATTTACTTACGCGATAACTAAGAATGCCAAATGCACGGCGAAACTTCCGCTTTTCAACAGAGAGTGGAACAAAATGGCCACAAACTGCATCTCGATAATGGGTACGATGCACGCAATGGATACCACGAATCCTGCGAAAGCTGTCAGGGCAAATGGAACCATGAAGCGTTGCTCTTTGTCTAAAATATAAAGTTTATATTGATATCTGTACTGCACGGGTGAAACACACTCGTTTGAGATCTGTTGATGGATAATCATACTCGTTTGAGATCTAATTTTCGGTATCTTGTGATCACAGTCTGTGCCCTGGATACCCCGCGGAGTAATTACTGGCAGCGCCGAGTATTAATTTCAGCTTTGGAAGTAACTGGCTCGCGCTGCCAGTAATTACGCTTTGGGGTATTCAGGGCATAGCTACAGGTAGTGCCTCTGTAAATTCTCTGCCACAATGGCTATTTGCACGGGCCATTGTTAGTATGCCATCAGAAGCTCAATTTCCCAAGCATAAACGCTGAGAAGTTGGAAGGCCAAATAATTTAACCCAAATGTTTACGTATCCCCCCCACAACCACAGGATGATCAAAATCGTTATTTTTTAAAAGTACAAAAATATTTTTATTGCAATACAGTTAAACTAGAAATGTCATCCAATACTGACAGATGCCTTTGTCTTAGAATTGCCAAATTGTAATAACTGTAGACATTTGTATCTCGAATGGCGGGTGTTCCCTTACCTCTTTGGGGTAGTATATTTTGCATGGACGTTTATGACTGGTGGTATTTGCATTTAAAGTTTGTTCCTATTGAAGAACTCCCATACTTACTTTACTCGCTTACATTATGAAAAACACATTTTCACATTCTAGTTAATATATTATTTTGCTTTTAATCAAAAATGCAAAAATATTCTAAACAAAGAAAACCATTTCACTCACAGATCGGTCAATAGCATCATCATGTTTATTACCTTCTTTGGTCGCCCCGGCTATCAGTTTGTCCAGAATCAAGCCAGTCAGCAAGGCCCAGAACAGAGCACCAACTTGGAACCAGGAAAACACGTCGGTATATGTACTTACTGTAACATAATAAGGGCATAATAAGATGACCAGATATTAAAAATAGAACATATAAAATATATTAATTAATAAATGGTTCGTGAGAGTGGGCGAAATTCGTGATCCAAGCTCAGTGTTACAGGAGTTTTTTTTAAGTGATATACACGTAAATCAATTACCTGTGCTTTTGACATTGTTCCCGTAGTAACTGATGATCGCATAAAAACTACCTTGGAAGGTTACAATCAGAGTTGTCTGGCAACACAGCCACAGCATCGACATCCAAAAGGTGGGTTTTTTTAGAACCAGCAGTGAGCCTTGAAGTGAGCTTATGTAAGTCCCTTTGTCTGTTTCTTTGCTTTCAGAGTTCTCTACGTCGGGGACCATGTTCGCACTTCCGTCAGTACGGGGTTCCGAGGAATTGACCTTGTTTTTGTGCTGATGCCAAGCGTCAGTAGCGACATTAAGGTCGGATTCCGTCTTTAGTCGCATATTTGCGTTATATGAAGTGGTTGCTGCGGTTGCAAAGTCTTCTCCAATTATTTGAATTTCGTTTACCTCGTCGTCCGATTCAAATTCATCAACACTATCTGGCTTGGCCTTGCAGTCGACAGTTGTACTACTCTTACCGCACGATGGAGGCGATTCCTTGGTACTGTTGAACATTTTACGTATCTTTAAACAACAGGCTATGTCAATGTTGTTCCCGTCGTCATCCTGTCTAGGTGGAAGGATGATTGTGTTGGCAGTAGACATAAGGAGTATGATACCGGTAAAAGTGAACATGCACGTCTTGTACGACACTCCAGCCTGGTACGCCAACTACAAAATGTTGTAGCATAGTTACATACATCCATTGGTGAAATCTATGGTATTATTTCAGTTACGTCTTTTTTACCTTTTACGAAATAATCAGAATAATCACATTTTGGAAAAGATAAAAACGATTGCCATATGTCGGTGAGGTGCGTTATTTATTTATTTTTTTTATTCTTACGACTGGCCATTTTGGGCACGCATGGTCATCTTAATAAATATCTTAAGCAGATCATCCTACATTTAACAGAGGGTTTTCTTCATCACCGTGTCAGTTTATAAAGTTGTTATCATAATTGCCTTCCATCGAAATTACATTTGCACAGGCATTCTTCACTAGCAATAATAACTCTTCCTTTGAGATTCAAAATTCCGCAAGAAATACTTTGTAAACAACGTATGGGAATATATTCTATTGTATTTTATCACTAAAACAGCCGTTATTGTAGTAAAACTAAAATATATGCTTGTCAATAGGGCCTTCGATGCCTTTCTTCCCGGTCGTTAAGGCATCCGTTGCCAATGACGTTTGGGTGTCACGCAGATTCTCGCGTTCATTCGAGACCAAAATAACATCTGGCGCCAAACGCCTGATGCAATACGCATACGTAAATTGCGAGTTTCTGTACTGTGCGTCGGATAACGATTAGAATTGCACACATTGTAGATATAAATGCATTTTGAGCAATAAGACGAATATATCTTATGAATCTTATATTATTGTTATATAGTGTTATTGTTGTCTGCTTTTCCCGCGGTTTTAAGTAGGTCACCAGAAACTATCGCTTAAGATATTTTAACAAGAAAAAAAAAACCTTTAGGAAAAAACCCTGGACTAACTTTGATTACAGGAATGGGGTCGTTGACCATTGGTAAGTACGGGGAAATTGCCGTTTACTCCAGGAAATACAATTTTTGGCCAAAACGAAGAGTTTCTATGACTTTAATGCTTTAAAATATTTGAATATACAGATACAACATATTTTGGTGTATGTTTGCGTATTTGTGAATGTCCTTTTGTGTCTGCCGAGTGATATAGGGGTTCCTAACCTTCAACAAGATAGGTACAAAACCACTTATGCCCATAGCACCGGAAACCAAACAGGTGAGTGTTGCCTTTAGCTTAGGAAATAGCGTGGCCACTTGGACGTCAGTTACAGCCAACTGCACCCCTCCCAGTAGGTGAAATACCGCCCCAGGGAATAGCAGCCACTCTGTTCCTGTACAAAAAATAAATAAATAAATAAATAAATAAATAAATAAATAAAAAAGCTATTTATTAATTAAAAATTGCAAATTGTAATTATTTTAATAATTAAAATTCCATTTATTGAGTGTAATGCATATAAAGTGTTCTCCTTCACTGAACATGCCGATAACATTTACTTTTTGACACACTGTTGTTTACTGTTTTACAGTTGTGACTGTCTCGACGCCAAAATTTCAAAATTTATGGTAGTCTTAAATATTTTGGAACGCTGTGCGTGCGTGTACTTGTTTCATTCGAGTGACTTTCTTCTCGAAGATTTAAGTTACGAGTTTATGTTTTTCGGAAAGTTTTTTTTTCTTTTTTTATTCATACCTAAATCTGCTAACGCCATCAAAAAGAACCCACCAGCACATAGACATCTAAAAGAAAAAAACCCAAAGATCAATCAAATGCTACTGTCATTTCCTTAGAATTAAATGTTCTCTCAAAAAAGCCGTCGTTCAACAAGTGTACATGTTTTAACATGGTTTCCAATGTATTCGTACAGAGGGAGGGAGAGAGAGAGAGAGAGCACAAGGCAGAGAAATACATCTTTCTCACATGAAAGTCAAGTTTAACGCACAATGACACGCAATGACGATAATGAATTCACCTTGAACATTCTACTGAGTTGTAATGTGTTCATATTACCTATACTTACATGGATATGGTTCTCACGAACACTGTCCCACAGTGATCAAAAATATACCCCAGCATTGAGAGAGCCGCTAAACCGACAAATGCCACCGTGTAGACTAAGTTTAACATCCCTTCCTGCTCAGTGCAATTTTGAACGCGGCCATCTTCGGCATTTTCGTGAGTGCAATTACCAAAACCAGTACAGGCAAGTTCTACAATGTCACTGCTAGCATTCCCTCTAGAGTCAAAACGACATAGGGAATAGTAAAAGTGTTCCTCTATGAATATGTACACATACGCTGGCCATCCGAATAACGTTGCAGAGTAGACAGCAGCTTCTAAGATTCCCAAGACGGCGCAGAATAGCTTCCAACACGTTGTATTTTCCATGTTGTCCAACACACGATAATAAATATGCTAACCCGGAATGCGAGCACCATCTAGGGACCTCTAAAATAGTAAAGGTAAATCAAAAAGATGTAACAGCCAAACTATTAGCGCACCCTGCCTCTGAGAGTAGTATGTGCCCGGAATATGTAAAGTTATATTGACTTAATCGAGTGTGCACAAATATCACTAGACTTTTATTCTTGCTTGTCATCAGCAAGCTTTGCTGTGGTTATTATTATTATCATTATTATCATTATTATTATTATTATTATTTTTAATAATAATAATAATAATAATAATAATAATAATAATAATGTAGTTGACTTTGAAATATTAATAAAGGGTATTATATGATTCCGTTTACTTAATTGGAAAATTTGGTTGAAAAACTGGGTGTGCAGATCGAATATTCTCCAAGCACCTCCGTGATTTGCTACACCAGGGTATCAGAAGAGAGAGAGAGAGAGAGAGAGAGAGAGAGAGGGAGTCTGTCATTCACATATCTATTTAATGAAAGTGCCTACCATCTGTAACTGTGTATAATGCGTTGCGTTGACCACAAAATATTAATTGATATTTTTCACATTAATATTTTTCTCAATATTATAAATATTTCCGTTCCCAACAATAATACGATCTATAAGATTATAACGTAGTGCAGCAAGTAGCAAGGCGTGCTCCAGTATTCATTCTAAGTGTGCATCAACATTTAGAAACTTAATAGTTCAAAATGGGTTCTGGGTCGTCATTTTAGGTAAGTTATGCGATATATGAGCCTGAACCTTCTGTCATTTGATGATGATACATTAGTAAGGGAAAGAGTGAATTTAACATGCCATTAATTTGCTCTGAAAATTAACGAGAAATGTAACGACCTTGTTGTCTCTTGCTTACATATACCTTTGCTAGGTCATTCCGTTAACTTCAGTATACCTTAAAAAGCTTTTCTCATGTTCTCACGCCTTGCTCACAAGAACAAATTGTTCATGATAATTCACCCAGAGAGAGAGAGAGAGAGAGAGAGAGAGAGAGAGAGTATGTTAGATGAAGTGAAACAATCAATTTTCGATTAGCAAATTGAGCCCATGAATCGACCCCACCCCCTCACTGACACGCGTTCAGTTTTACGAGAACAGTTCTAAAAGAACGAAAAGAGCGTCCATACTAAAGTCTCAAGCGTGACAGAATTACTATTCAATGTCCATTCTTGTCTGCACATTAGCAAAGCTTCGGGAATTTTACAAGTTTGCTTATACCCCCTTTACACTGGACGGCGTCCTTTCTGCGTCCTTTCTGCGACCATGAAATTTGGCATCGCTGTGGTCTTAACAAGGAAGCACGAGCATTAATTTTGTATCAGAATGAATGCTCAATGATCAGCCAGTTGTCGGCACGTAAAATATTATAATTTTTTAACTCTTAAATGGGGCCGTACTGTTGGACGCAGAAAGGACGCCGTCCAGTGTAAAGGGGCCCTTAACACAGTTGCCTGCTCGACTGAACAAGACTGCAATAACAAGCCATTTTGCTACATTGGCTTGAATGGTTTCGGATTGGAGACGACTTTTAAACCCCTCCACACTAGACGGCGTCCTTTCTACGTCCTCTGTTCAACTATGTATCTGGTACTCCTGTGGTCGTAGCAAGGAGGCACAAGCACACCTCTGGTTGCAGAATGAATTATCAATTATCGGCCAGTTGTCGACCCGTTAAATATTTCTTTTTTACTGTCATGCGGGGCAGTCTTACGGAACGCACAAAGGGCGCCGTCCAGTGTAATGGGGCCTTTATTGAATACATGATGGTACGTAAGCGATGAAGCCGGACCAGGCCATTCAGGCTGCCACCAGCAGAATATAACCTGTCTGTCGAGGTCACAACTCAAGCAATCGGACATATTCATGTCAGGCACCAACCATGAAAAGTGTGATGAGTTATGGTTGAACTCCACTCCTACGACAACACGCCAAGCGTGGAGAAGTCTGTGGAAGTCATCCGCCAGCAATGGCGTGACAGACCGAGCTGAAGATGTGAAGAAGTTGTTGTCTTTATCTAACTAATGTTACGCGAGGTAGCAAATACGACTCAGTTAGTCTTTCTTATCATTCGTTAACTGGAGTGTTAAGCAAACTTGTACTTAATTATTACAACCGACCGGATGCCCTTGTGGTTAGAGTGTCCATCTCTGGAGCGGGAGGACGTGGGTTCAAACCCGTCAGGGTACATACCAGTCCTTTATTAACGGTACTTGGCACTCAGCACTAATGGGTTGACGCATGGGCTTGGTCTGGCAGTGGAGGAATAATACGTTTGTTATGTCTGAGCCCCTTATGTGACTGACTTTTTTTAAGTTAATGCTAGATAAAATTACAATAAATTCCTTGGGACAGATAAATTATCATGAGACTTAAATATCACTCTCGTTTGAGCAAGCTTGCGTAGCTTTTAAAATTCAATTTTCTTAAAATCATGCCTTACTCTTGTTAAAATCTTCAGCATTAATCAGAACTGGGGAAACATCAGTATAATCATAATAATAATAATAATGTCCAACTATTATTTATAAGCATTTGCTTAACTAGATTATAGAATAACAAGAGTGTAAATCATTATTAAAGGTTCATAAGAGCTACAAGTCGAAATATTTCGCCTTTCAGGCAATTACACTGCTTGTGGTAACTTGAGGTGCAACTTAGGGGCCATTCCCATAGATATTTGGATTGATCTTACTCATTGGGAAGTCTCACTAAATTGCTAACATCTTAACCGTCTTTAATGTCTGTCACGTCTAGTAAAGCTGTTAGATGGTAATTATCTTTACCCTGGCTGATTCGGCAGGCGTGACAGACATTTAAGGCAGTTTTGCTGATAACAAAATAGTGAGACTCCCACTGGAATTAGACCGATCCATATGGATCGTTCTAGGCATGGGAACCCAGTCATATTTAGAGAGAGTGTGAACATTGTAAAAATCAATTTGCGCTTTTCATCTCCAATTACAATTTATTCATTTATTTTCCAAAATATACAATTTTGTATTTTTTTTCTTTTTTAAGTTTAAAATGTAAACTCTACATATTTGAATTTAAAATGTCAGAGACATAAGATTAATATGATTGTAGTTTGAACTATAATAAAATTTCTTCAGGACTTTATCTAGATTAAGGAACCGTATAAGTCTGACACAAAAGGGATATATACATAAATGCAAATTCTAAAAAATAATTTCAGACACACCATAACAAAAAGGAATCAAGCAGATTAAAACAATCACTGAAAAATAAAAAAGCACCACATTCTGTGAACAGGCAGCGGAATGAGGCCATTTTGTTCTAGACTGTTTTCCGAAACCTTTACTAATAGATAGGTATTTTGAAATATTCACTATGTTATGACAACTCCACACATAGCCAAATAGTAAAATGTCGCCTATAGCAATGTCCAAAATGAACGCAATAAACAAATATAAAATACTACTATGCTAAAATGGTCTTAGCTGCAGAGTAAGTGAAGTACCTAGCTGGAGGTTATCTACATGTAGATAGAGATGACATTTCCTCACATTTAGTTATCAGTTGAGTTTACCTTCCTTCAATACAAATTGAGTCACTTATTGTGGTTTGCATATTCGCTGCCGTAATAAACACGTGAAAAATATTGCCTCGTGGCGCTTAGAAGTTTACAGGCGTTTGACAAGCCATCTTTTAGAATCGGCGCAGACACACGCAGTGGAAGCATTTCGTACAGGAACCAGGCTGGCATAAGCAATCTTCTCGCCAACGGGGGCTCTACGGCATCGGTGTAACACGACGCCAAAATGTCATTCACGATGATGGTCCCGTTCGTAGTGTGGGGACAAAAGGCTCCAGTGACTTTCTTTCTGCCTGTTGCCACAATTTCACCCATGGACATGACGTTCATCGCAGGGTGATAAACGAACACCATATCTCCAACTCGGATATCACGGGCGGCTTTCAGGGAGAATGGGAACGTTGAAAATCTGGAGAAAACGTGGATATAGTGACCTTCAGAGACGAGAAGGTGTTGCCTCGTTGAAGTCTCTAAGTGGACATATATAGTCTGACAATGGGAATCCGCATGACCAAAGCAGAAGATTTCCTCGAAGCCGACGGAGCCATCGTCCCTAACACAAAGCACCTTGTCACCGGGAGATAGTTTGGCCATTGCTGTGACTGACCCATTGCTAAGTCGCACAGTGGAAGAGCCCTCGAAACACCAGAACTGCGATTTTAAATCTGCCTCGACCTCCTTTTCTAATTTCTTCTGTATTTTATCATCACTCAGGTTAGGATATTTCTTTTTCAGTTCTTGTCTTCTCTTACTTGCTTGCTCGATTACCTCATGGGAGAATTTCTTACCATCATGAGCTTTTGCTATGGCGTCGACGTGGTGAATGATGGATTCTACGTAGCCTCTACGCTCTTCCTCGTCTTGCGTGACGCTGTTGATGAACACTATTCTGTCACCGGCCTTCTGAAGGACCTTCTCCATTCGGGCGGGCAGCTTCCTTCTGAAACTTTCTGTTGACTCTCCCTTATTGTTCTCAAGCTTGTCCTTGTGAGTAGCTACAACAACCATGTATTCAAAAATGACTTTGAAAAAAATCGTTCTTAACTCAATTACGGCGTCCAATTCCTCTTGAGACGGCGTTTCGTCGCAGCGAATGACAAACAAGAACGCGTCGATTCCTTCCTCGCCCCTAAGCCTGGTAACGCACTCCGACAGTATCTGTTGAATATTTGTCCTTTCCTTAGCCGACACAGCCTCTAAGAGGCCGGGAGTATCAAGGAGTCGAAAATTACGGCCAACCACATTCACACAGTGCGATGACAGGTCTTTCGTTATGCCGCCCGCGGAGGAACCTGCTGGGAAAACCCTTTCTTTTTCGACCATCATATTAAGGGTAGAGCTCTTTCCGGTACCTATCTTCCCGACGGCGACTATGTTGGTATGCTGCCCCTCTGTGTGGGCTACTGGTGGTGTCTCATGAGTATCAGTGTCCTATAACAAATGCCCATACTATTACTATTCTGTTTAAATTGACAATGCGTTTATTTACAGGTCAGTTACAAAGTGTCATGGAGGGTTGTCCTCAATAATTCTAAGTCTTTACACAATATCAGGAAAAAAAACGAGTGTTCACTTGCTGTATTGGTAAGTTGTTTGTCTCACTCTATCACCGTGTTTGAGAGAGAGAGAGAGAGAGAGAGAGAGAGAGAGAGAGAGAGGTGCCGCAGAGCATCTCACCTTGATATATCGCTGGGTCATTTGCCTCACTTTACCAATGCATCTCCTCAGACCAGCAGCAGTAGGGTTGAATTCCATGTACGCTGTCTCTAAATGTCTAACGATTTCTTTATTTTTGGCATAGTCAGCCTTTCTGTGAGTGAGTACCTTTAAATTTTCTGTGAATGTGCCTTGCAAACTTTCAAGATCTTTCTCAAGCTTAAATTTATCGTAGGGAGGGTCGTGAGACTGAGTTTGGTGATCTTCGAAGAAGCTGCGAAGGAACCTGGAAGCTGAACATATGTCGTCATACATGTCTTCAAGTACTTTAATATTGCTCCCCAGTCTGTTTTCGAATTCATACGGCTCTGCAGACTTGTCAATTTCAGACAAAGGAGATATTTTGGCCAGCATCGGTTTGCCTTTGCCGCCATTTTGTTCCTCAACTTTTTCTATGAAGCGGTTTATCAGCTTCTGCAAATTGGTTTCGAGAACGTCGTGCTGCATTTCTGAAACACTCGAGTCAACATTCACTATGCATTCTTGGATATTTATCAAGTAATCTTCAAGATTTTTCAGTTTACTGTCGGCGCCGTACTCTTTAAATTTGAACTCTGCATTTGTTCCTTTGTCCCTCTCGAAATTCTCCTTGGCCTTGCGGCTGTTCCCACTTGCTGTTATGTCGATGGTCAGATAGCCACCGTAGGCTAAAGACGATACATAATGCGTTGGTTGAACCCCAGGTTTTCGTCTTACACTTCCCTGTCTACGGTCGTTCAGGCGTTGAATTCCCTGAGAGACAAAATATTAATTCTAAGCATTAAGGGGTGGATGTACCTAATTACGGCTAAAAATCATCATTTTGGGTTTTTTATGTCAAATTATTGGTTAAATGTGTATCTAACGTTTAACGGAATAACATTTTTACATTTTGAACAAAAAATATGTTTTTATTCTGAGGATTGTGATGCTGCATCCATCGGCACTGGTGACTTGGTCTGTGCCCCGCCTTTGTTGCCAAGGGCCGTTGGCATGGGTAACCTCGGAGGGAGGACCTTGCCAGCATCAGCACGACTCGCCACACAATAAAACAGGAACGTGTCACACTTCCTTTGTCATAAACAGCGATCGGCAAAGCACTGCTTAATGTTCCGCTTAAGCTGTTTTGATAGTCGCTCTTGATTGTGATTAGCGCTAAGGAGAATCTTTTCCGACACATGGGATATGCTCGAAATACGCATTTTCCATTGAATTGCTTGTTGCTATACACGCACTTTCGATTTTCTTCTAAACATTTTGAGATACGAAAAAAAAGAGAAACATTCCACCGCTTGCTATCTGTGACAGCAACCGTCAAACTATCGATCAATCTTCGACAGCAGTTCTATACAGTCGGCAGATTTTATAGATCTATGCAACTTGGGCCATCTGGCCTAGCATCAAAGCGGATGTTTATCAAATCTTTAACTTGACAGCTAATGATTATGATGTACGATGGTGATAATTTCTGTGTTTTGGACTTTTTCTGAGCGACATCGATGTAATTATTTGGTCGAATACTGACTGAAATCGTAGACAAGATTGATTTGCGTAAATAAAAGGCTTGAACCCATATCCTAGCATATCCTTTCATCGGGTGGCGTAAAACTTCAGTTCATGTGCAAAAATAAATAATAATAATAATAATAATAATAATAATAATAATAATAATAAATAAATAAATAAATAAATAAATAAATAAATAAATCTAAGCAAATAGAGCTAATGTTATCGCTAGACTCCGTTATTCGCGCGAGTAGTAACAGTAGTAAGCTGGGATCACGTAAGAGCTGTGGTATTTATAACATTTTGATTTTTTTAGAAATATTCATTTCGGCTATTAGGTATGAGATGGAGAATAAGTCCTAGCATTTTCAACCTAAATGCTGGTATATCGCGAGGTACAGTTCTGGATGCAAGTATGCACTTTTAAGGCCGACATGGTGTTTTTTTTTTTTTTTTTTTTTTTAAGTATTATCCCAATTTCTGACAAACACAACTTTACACATATCCTCTAACAAGCCCTGCCTGCCGATCGGCGTCCTGTAACACGACCGTGTTTTCGAACCATTTTTCGCTCGGCGAATGTAGACAAGACCGCCTGCGATGATGCTATTGTGTGCACATCCTAGAGCGCATCCCTAACACTTGTCCCGACATCAATTGACGTGGCCACTGATTGGTAGAGTTATTAGGGCTTACTTGATTGCATGTAAATTATTCTGGCAGTGCTAACGGTAACCCGTTGAAGTTACTAACAGGAGGTGGGATTGATACAAAAATAAGATTTTCTGACATCCAAATGCATGCAAACAATCTCTTTTCAACGGGCAATAGAGTACCCATCTTTGCGATCGTCAGTACGATAACAGGTAAAGCTGTCAACAATTTAATTTGCTATTTTGGACAATTAACTTCCCTGAAAGGGTTTTTGTTCGTTTTCTTCGCTTTCAAGATTGACGAGGTAGCGTTATCGGAGCGAGCTATAACTGTCTACCTGTACACCTGAGGGAGACCAAATTCACCATGCTTATTAGGAAATGTATGCACAACAAGTACTTTTTAAAATATTTTTCATTGATCCTCTCTTTTTCAATTTATCGACTTTGAAAGTGAAATGTCCTTAATATTTTGATGTAATTTCACGTTTTTATAGATTAAATCAACAATAAGTCTCTAGAGAAAAAAAAATCCTGACTCCGTTTTGTAGTGCTTTGTTTAAGTGACATAATACCATTAAAAGCATGTTTATAGCTGTCCAGGTGCCTGAGAAAATCAGGTTTTAAAAAATGGTGTTTTTGTCCCCAAAATCACAATATTACTTCACACGATGAAGTTGGAACTGTGTTTCAAGCATAATTAGGTTATTGAAGACACATTAAATGAATGTGACAGGAGCAAAAAAGCTAAGACCTTTATTTTTAGAGAAACTCTCCAACCTACATTCCCCCCTTAATTATTCATTGTACGCGGAATAAGCGTTAAAACATGGATTGAAAGGGTGACTAAAATGCACAACTGTGAGCGCTGATGTTTGTTGAACATTTCTGCAATGTACTATTGAACAATACTATTTTCTTTTTTTCAAACAAACACTAAATTTATTTTTTCATAATCATAGTCTTTAATTAGTCATATTCTTTTGTTTTCTCATCCATATACTATCAGGCATTTCCTTATTTATTAATTCATGCATTACTTTACTCATTTGTGTGCTCATTTATCTTTTGCAAATTGATTAAATCAGTTTCAATTTAATTAATTCTGCACATCTCCTCCTCCTAGAGGAAAACATGAAGTAAAGAAGGCGAAAATATACGGAATGGTTTAGAAATCCTTTGATTTATTGTAAAAGAACTGACAACTTTTTTATTTTTATTTTTTATTATTATTCACTGCCGTTTATCATATATTGGGCTGGTGTTTTTCTGGCGTAGAAATTATATCAATTAACCAAACAAATGTTTATACATAGGTCAATAAACAAAGGAACAAGTAAACAACAACGACAGCAACAAAATGGATAATTAAAAAAAAAAAAAACTTACAGTTTGCATACGAATAGACAGGCGCAGTGCGGTGACGTCTCCCTCTGTTGTATTTTCCCCACTTCCTTTCCAGCTAGCATTTGCTCCTGCCTCGACCAAATGGAAAACTTTTGCCTTAAGCCTCACAAAACACTCGCTACTGTTAGTCTTAGCATCGCGCTCGGTAAAGTGTCCGGCAAATTTGCGGATTTTAATATCCTGATCTCTTGTAAAATCTAAGCTATCCTGTTCAATGCCCTCAATTATGGCATGTGTTCTTTCCATGGTGTCAAAGTTGTATCCATCTCCGATTTGCAAGTCAGCGTAGCATTTGATCCAGTGTGGGTCGCTTGAATTCATGGTGCAGTCTACCTATGCCAGTTCACACCACAGTCAACTAAATATCTGTTTGGATTATGTTCAGTTGCGAGTGAAGTCCTTTCTTCTAGTCTTGCGACAGTTTTGGAAGATTTACTGTTAATCAGATTAAAACGCTACTGTGTTTTCTTCCAAAGTGTTTTAATAGCACACCAGCCCCGCTGAGTTTAAAGTAAATATTTCACTGCGTAATATCAAACATTTACCTTGTTCCGACTATTAGATTATACACTGTACTTCATGAGGAAAGTATGTTTGATAACGAAGACTTCCTCTCTGACAACATTTGCCGTACACTGCTGGAGTATATATAAAAGAGCTGCAAGTTGAGACTGGCTGGGCGGAAGTTGCCTCGTGCCCCTGATATGCAAATCAATAACGCCGAGGAGGTCAATAGCTCAGGGAGTGTCTCATAACATGTATAACATTTTTTGCTGATTAAAACGAAAGGAGAAAAGAAAAACCTTGTTTTGCCACTGATATGAGCAATGTGGCGAAGTGACTGTACAAACGTTAGTAGAATACCACCAATAAAGTAAACAGGTTTTCAGATGTGTGTATGTGTGTGTTACTGTTTTGGGTGAGTTTGAAATGGAATGATGTCATCGTGTTTTATACGTATACAAGTTACAGTTAGAACATGGCAACTATATACTATAATGACAAAAAGATTGAAGGGAAGAGCTAATAGCGAGAAAATGCAGTAGTATCGAAGTAGCAAAGAAGCATTAACGCAGTAGTGGTTTGGAGCATATTTGCAGTAGAAATGCAGTATAGCCTACTGCAATTCTACTTCAAAAATTACATAGGGTTGTACAGAGGAGCATTAATGCAGTAGATTAGCAGCATGATAGCAGCATGTTTCAAATATGCTAATTAGCTCCCAATGCGAAGCAGATTTGAGGCATATTTGAAGTATGATTGCAGTAGTCTACTGCGCTGGAGCATCTACTGCGTTTTCGTGCGGGATATATATAGCGAGAAAATAATAAAATTAATTAAATAATGTATAATAACGATTTTCCTTGCATTTGTCATACATTGGATCTTTGAGATGGTCCCACGAATCACCAGGGCATGCGCAGTTTGGTCTACAAAGCCATTTGCCGTCCCTTCCCTTTCAAAGCAGAAAACAGAAAACTCCAGCTGTAATACTTCGCTAGATCATCCGTGCTCTCAGAATAGGAACAGCAGTGTAAGTATACATACACACGAAATGATAAGCCACTTATGGAGTGAAGGTAGAAAACAGCGAGTTGTTCATGGAGTCAGCTTTAGGCCAAAGAAACGTATCGGTAGTTTCAGTTCAGCTGTTCAAGTTGTTAAAGGGTTAATGGAAGCTGTGCTCGATTTCACACACATGGTTATTATCAAGAAAAGGCTAAGGGTTTATTGCGTCTATAATATATCTTGGTAACTGTCCCAACCGCATAAAAAATTATTGGTTATTTCAGTTGGTGTTTTAGAACCTTTGTTTGTTGTATAATAAATCTTAGATTGTATTATATCCGTTTCATCTATTAAACCTTGTATTGTGCACTCTTGCCATCATCATCATCATCATCAGAAGCAGCAGCAACATCAAAATAATAATAATAATTATTATTATTATTATTATTATTATTATTATTATTATTATTATTATTATAACATTATAACAGCAAGCATTAACATTATTATTATTATTATTATTATTATTATTATTATTATTGAAAATGCCTTTTTTCAAGACGGACAAACACTTTTCATCAATGAGTATAAAACCAGTTCTCTGCTTTCAAATGAGATTTTGTTTTCATTGTTCTGCCTATCTCCACTAGGTGTTTTTTTTTTTTTTTTAATTCAACTTTTATGATTTATGGTGAAATCATTTTTCTCAGGATGACCACCAAAACCTACAACGTCATTGTCGTTGGCTATCAGGGGCAAGGGAAATCTGCAACTGTAATGAAATTATCCGGGGACCCTAATTATAAAGGAAAAAGTGGCAAAATTGCACGTAAGACTTTCAGGCTCAAGGAACCGAGCTTGTGCGCTGTCCACGTTGTGGACACACCTGGCTTAGGATCCCTGACTACATCTGACCATAAGACATTGGATAGAATATACAATGAAGCCAGGTGTCTGCAGCACGTGGACGCAATATTGATTGTGTTTAAAATGGACCGAATTAAAAACACACAAATGAAAGCCGTAGAGCAGTTTCGCAAAATTTTCGGTGACAATTTTCTTCAGAAAAGCATCATTGTACTTACATTTGCCGATGTCGCAAAACACCACAACGCTTCCATTGGAGATTTTTTAGCCAGTTCGCCAGAGACATTTCAGAGTCTTTATAAAAATTGCTGTGAACGAATATGGTGTGTAGAAAACAGTGACTGGGAAGACCGAGAAGAGAAACAGGACGAGTTAATGGAGTTGATAAAATCTGTTGAAACGGTGCCGTATAAAGTTCCTGGTGCTGGAAGGGTAATGCTCGACTATTCAATTTGCTATATATGCTGAAAATTGCTTTATTAATATCGACAAGCTGTTTTAGACGGGGTAAAGGACGGTAGAAACATTTGAAAGTCCATACGTTATTACTTTAATGGGGGCTATGGTGATATGAGCCAGAATATAATGCAAAACATATTGAATGTGTATTGAAATGTATTTAGTTTATGATTTTAAGCAAAACTAACCATTAAATAAAGCGGTGATAATGTGCGAACTGTCGTATCCCACAATTCCCGATAAAGGGTTAATATAAAAGGACTTAATTCACATTTTTAACATCTTGATTTTTCTCAACGAACTCGTGCCATGTATGTCTTGTTATAAATGAAGAAATTGGCGGAATTCAAGGGAAAGTATGTTTCTTTTCAATAGTTGTTTATCCATCTCTAAGATTCCCTTCCACGCTTCCTGTAAAGTGACTTGATTTCGTTACATTCTACACATAAGTTTCTTTTTTTTCTAATTTTAATTATTTCCTTTCCAGGTGATTTGCTGTGGAAAAAGTGCTGTGTGTATTGCTGTCACTGTTGCTGTCGTTGGCGTTGTTGTCATCGCTGTTGCCGTCGTGGTTGGCGTTGCAGTTGCCAATACTTAAACATGCACTGGTCCAAAGCAACCGAACTGATTCCTACAGAATGGCAGCAAGTACTTTCACGACATCATAGACAGCGCAATGTAATAAACTGCTGAGGATCAGTGGTAGTCACATGACAGCCACATGACCCCCCCCCCAGCATGGAACCGCGAGGTGATAGATTAATGTGCCGTTCCTTTGAATTATTATTATTATTATTATTATTATTATTTTAATAGACACCTTTAAACGACTTTGAACGTTTCCTGGATGCTGTGGGTTGAAGTGGAGACAGTTTAAGGGACTGTTTTGCTTGGCTTTTAAACATTTGGAAAACCTACACTTTGTATATAATTAGTTCCGTTTTTCAAGTTTTGCTATCGTCAGTATGACCATCATTTTGTACAGTTTGTACATTTTGTACATTTTGTCATTTTGCTGCAACATTAAGACCATTAATGCATGAATGTATTTGTATAGTATGCATGTGAATGTGTGGTTTACTGTTTCCCTTTACAAGGCGTTCTTTTCATCTTCAACCCTACCCCAGCCAAATCCCCGAAATCCTGAACCCATCACGCACTGTTCTAGCTGGTTACATACAGCAGAGGTAATGCTGTTGATAACATAATGGTAGGCTAAGCGAAGTACGGTGTGATTAGTGTATAATATAAAAAGTGAGGTTAACCTCGAGTTCTATATATTGTTTGTGGTACGTTTACTGGCATGTAATCTGTCTGTAAAGGCAGACAAATATAGATTTAAAAAAAAAAATGGACAAAGATGAACTTCTCCCAGACACAGGCACTGGCACACAACAGATAAGAATGGAAACGCTTGGTGAGCGTAATGTCAACGCAGCCCCTCCCATATTCCATTTGATTGAATCGAGAGAGAGAGAGAGAAAAGGAGAGAGTGCATGCATAAAAGAAAAAAAGGCTTTTACACTGTAACAAAGACCACGTTTTTTTTCTTTTCTTTTTTTTTTTCTTTTTTTTTTTTTTTTTTTTTTGCACATAAATTGCCAAACAATCATACTATGTACGTAAAAGCCATGCTTTTAAAGGATCCTTTCATCCTCTTAATGCAGCTAAATTACCAAGTTCAAACGTGTTCGTGAATGCCGCTAGTACGTGTTTGTGTTAGATATTACCAGGTGTGCCATTTATTCTTTCTGATGTGCTTCATATCTTGCAAGTACAATACACAATGGCAAATAACTGCATGGATGCAGTAATGTCATTATGTATGGAAAAATTGGATAAGAAAACAGTATTGAGTGTGGATGTTTATGTAATCTTTGGAGGCGAATTTGTTTACAAAATATCACATACGAGCTGTGTCTAGACGTTGGACTGGAACACACTGCGTTCCCTAAAATATATTAGTGGAAGTTCTTTAATGTAAACATTTTTCAATGTAATTTAAAATGCACCCTTCAATTGAATGTAACAACTGCAGTGAAGTGTATTTTTATGGGCTAATTATATAACATTGTAAAGTGTACTGAACTTCAAAGTATGCTGTGGCTCAAAATGAAATATTATAATGATTTATTATATGTACCGACTGCACTAAATAAAAAATATGTTACCTCTTACAAACAAAGGGGGGTTGTTGGTATTGTTTTCTTTTACGAGGGGGGGAGTTATTTATCAAAATAATCCTTACAAAGGAATTTTAAGGATAGACTGATAGACCTTCACCTTGGAGGTTATTTTCTTATTTTTCATCCGCCTATTCATCGTGTCTATTTACTATAAGACCCAATCCCTTTTACTTGACTTGAATATTTTAAAACAATATTTTACAAATTCCTCATGTCGTGAACAACTTATTCATCATGAAGATGTATTCCAAAACTATGGTAATTTACCTCGAATCTTAGCATTTCCATTTTAAATAAAAGACTACATGTATATATCAAACTGGCAGTAGCGAAATAATTACTGCCATGATAAGGGCAAATGATGAAGAGACCACTCCCGCCTGTTTTTAAAATAAGATTGAAATGTCACGTGCAATTTGCTGGGGCTTGGGGTGAGTCAAAACATTGTTTCAACGTATCAGTGAACGTGCCTGGTAAAAATGCAACGACGCTGATCGCATTACCATATTGATATTTAATGAGCGCGCGCTTATCTTGCCTTGTGTGTTTTTGTTTGCTTTAAGAAACAGCTGACTCTAATCAGATCACTTCACGTGCAAGGTCACACGCTAGCCGTCTTGTTTTTCTGGGTCACTAAAACAATGTATCAGGCCAGATTGAAATCCAGTCAGATTTTACATCGGCCCAGACCAAATTAGAATTTCAAGATTATAATCCATAATCAGATATTATCTTTATTTTAAAATTAACACCGGGATACAAAGCACAGTTACAATTAAATGTCACAATTCTGTATATATTAAGTACATTCGTTTCCAAGCGGGAGGGTTATATTTAGAACTAATGACAATAACAGTTCTAGGCAAAGAAAGAAAAGGAGTAGAGTCTTTTAAGCCCCCTTTACACTGGACGGCGTCCTTTCTGCGTCCAGTAGTACGGCCCCATTTGAGAGTTAAAATTATAATACTTTACATGCCGATAACTGGCCGATCATTGAGCATTCATTCTGAAACAGAATCAATGCTCGTGCCTCCTTATTTAGACCACAGCGATGCCAAATTTCATGGTCGCAGTAAGGACGCAGAAAGGACGCCGTCCAGTGTAAAGGGGGTATTAGTAAATATGCATTTTCTTGCTAATTCTTCACAGGAATAAATGTTTCCTTTCTCACCATATGTCACATCAAAACTAAAAAAGTTGATGATTTTAGCAGAGATGACCAACTCTGAAAAATAAAAAAAATAACAATCTCTGAGATTTTTCAAGACTTGCGGCTTATTTGACTTACTTTACGTCGCTTATAGATTGTGATCTAGTTAAAAAAAGCAACTTTCTCTATATCGACGTTCCGTGCTCAACCAGCTGACTGTAAACAGATCACATCACGTGCTAGGTCACACGTTCGCCGCCTTGGTTGTCTGGTTCATAAACAGCATTGAATGTTCAGATTGTTCAAAATCCAGCCAGGTTTTACATCGACCCAAGCCAAATTAGAATTCAAGATTATAATATGACTGGATAGAATGAAATTTCAGTATTACAGTAGTCTACTGCGCTGGAGCATCTACTGCGTTTTCGTGCGGGAAGAAGCAATTAAAGTCCCTGACGCGGAGTTAGAAGTTTGAATTGAAAATATCTTGCAGTCGAAGGTCAGTGCCACAATACAAGCAACATTCTGCTGTAAAAACTGATTTTCGTGTAGCCATTGCGTAGCCCTTATAGTGGTATCGGGCATACAGTGTAGCTGTCAAATTTGGCACACGGCAAGCACGTGTATTGTGCACGTGTATATCTCAGGACTGAATGTTCTTTGATAAGCAAAAAATACAAAAACATTGGATTTATCTTTTATTTTCGAAGAATATTATTTATTTTTTAACTTTACATCTTAAATACAGCAAATAAAATTAAATAAAGCAGAATTAAATTTGTTTTATGTTTCATTTTGGTCTGATGACATTCAACTGCAAATTCACTGCGGAGCAGTTCTTTTTGACTGACGGAAGCCTAACATGGCCGCTGTTCCTCAGAGCTAGTAAAATGACTCCAAGGTATATTTAATATTTGCAAGCTAATTTTTACGTTGCTCTGACACTCAGGGTAAACATGCCACATATTTAATAGAAATATTATTGCGCATTTACAATTTATTAGCTTTAGGTAAGGCTGTTTTATTGATGTGCAATGGGCTGATTGCCTTAGTTGAGCAGCATATATTTTCTTATCGATTGTGTCGAATGAAAGCACGTGATCAAAATTTAAGTGCGTGTTCGTGTTCAGTATTTCTTCTGTCGATTGATGCCGTTCTTCAAGTTTGTAAGACATGCAGAGTTTACTTGGGGGTTTATGAAAGATACAACAGTTGTGGATGATATGTAGAAGGATTACAGTTCCCAGAAAAGTGGGAAGAAACGTGATGTGATTCATTCCAAGGTGTTGTTTGTTTAATAAAGCTTGTTCGCCACAGCTGCTTATTGTCTGCGTTCTTTGCGGATATGATGTGATTAGAATTCATTAGACTGGATTCCATGAGACTGGATTGCTCATTAGTTTTAGTGCCCAAGGTATGTAAAATGTAAAATGTTAAGGCTTGTGATATTGTGGAGCTTTACACACAAGAGCATGAAATGGTAAGAGGGAGAGTTTATGTATGTATATTTACAATATTTCATTATTTTCTGGTACATTATGAATATATGTTTTTTTTTTAGAAAAAGAAAATAAATCTAAACACTAATCTCCAATCCACCTTTCAAGCCGTCAAAGACTGGAGTTCTCGCATACATATTTGCAATTCTGTTCTTAGTTGGAGAAAGCTCTGCAGGTGGTTGTCCACTTCCAGTGCAGTTTCCGTGGTTCTTCAATTGGTTATGAGACTTTTTTCACATAGGATACCATGTGTCTCCATTTATTACGACATTCTGCGGAACTTCTAATGGAGACTGTCACTGATGGTATTTATGTTGAAATGAATTTGAAATGAATTCCCATACTTTCACCTTTGCCTAGTTATTCAAGGTGGAAGTGTGCTTGTTCCTTATGATGTCATTATGACTTTACAAAGCTAAATAAGCAATCAAATTTCTTCTTGGCTCGAATTGAGTTTTCTCTGCCTCTTGCTGGAAGCCTGCTTCATTTTGCAAGAAGCAGACGGCAAATGACAACAAAACACAATCCATTCTACCGGTATTTTGATGTGTTTGTCTTGATGACTGATGGAAAACATTTCATGATATGTCTGCTAAATAGCAAAAATGCGGTAGAATTATTTTCAACGGGGAATGGTTTTGAACAATACCTGTGGCAGTATAATATTTAAGCTGAACATTTATATCGAAGTATGTAGTATTATGATCAACACATTGAAAACACATCGAAAAAGTAAATAAAATGGGTATTTTAAAGGGATAATAACTCTTCGTATGAGATCTATATTTCACAATAAAAACCTTGTGAATAACTCATAGAAATATAATTTATTCTGTTTTACCACAAAAACAGCAGTTATAGCTTTTATTCTGATATCTGAACTTGTCTTTAGACCACGTGACCTCCATTGATGGCTATACTCTGTTAAAATCTCTTAAGAGATTTTAACAAAAAACCAAACTTTTTAGAAAAAAACCAGGGACTAACTTTGAATGTAAAAATGGATTCATTAACCATTGGTAAGTATGGGAAAATTGTTGTTTACTCCAGGAAAATTCATTTTTTGGCCGAAACAAAGAGTTATTATTGCTTTAAGTGTTGGCATATTTAACATGATCATATTGTGACAGAAATGTTCGGGTCCAATTTTGGGATTCGTAGTCCGTTCCCTTAAATACGTATAGTTTGTTCAGGTAATTGCCCTTAACGCAACCTGTTAGTACCAACTGTTCTCCACCTTATCGTACGGGACACCGAACTTCGTGTCCGGGAACACTGATTCCTATTCAGTCTCTGCGATCCCAGTGCAACAAAACCTGTGTTTCTTTGGGTAAATTATTGCAGTGCATATGGATGTTTGATATATAAAATAAAATCTGTATCGATTTTTTGTTGAAAAATACGGAGGTCCCCACTGATCACTCATTTTTTTTATCTCGATCGCTCGACTTACTATCTCGAGCGCCCGACTTACTAACTTACCCGAGTTAGTAAGTCGGGCGCTCGAGATAGAGTAAGTCGAGCGCTAGAGAGAGTAAGTCGTACGATAAAAAAAATAAATAAAAAAAAAAAATTGAGTGACCCCTGCGGGGCTCCGTAGAAAAAAGGCATTGTGACTGGCCTGTATTTTTAACAGCTGATGCGAATCTTGCAGATATTCTAAATGGCTACTGCAACCACCCATTTCTATCATACAGCCGTTAGATCTTGAAATTACAAAATAATAATAATCAATCAATCAATAAAAACTTTTTGATCCTGGAACCGTAAAAGCAAGAAATGTCTTGTTTGTTGCATTTTGTAGAGGTTGTCAATTACAACACTGCCAGCAGGGTCCTTTTTGTTTCCGTTGCGGTTTAGTTGTGCTGTTTCAGAGAGTAGGTGACGTCGAAATGCTCATTGTTGAAAATAAAATGTGATATTCTTCCAAACCGGAGATGCAGCCATAGTTACTAATAAACTTGAATAGGAAGAAATATACTGAGAGTCAATGAAAACCTATCACATATTTATCAAATAATATTTTCAGTTCCTTTGGCACATTAAGAAAATAACAGTTTTCGTGTGAAATATGACCCATTATTCAGTCACACAAGGTGAAATAAAGGTCAGAAAAGATCATTAAAATGCAAGGTCACGTGATCAAATATCTTTGGTTCCACCCAGCCTCCAGCATCCCCAGTGCCAGACGTAGCATCACTGATTTTTTTTTTTTTTTTTTTTTGTCATGTGTCATACTGGATTTGGTGACTACCTTAAATAGGCTTAATTAATCACCACATATTGAACCTGATTAATTCACACCAATCACGAGACAGGAAAAACGCATTATTTTGTAACAGCTGATCACAAAATCACTGAAGCGGAAAATTTAAACTTCCAAGTACAAATGCACTCTCTTATGATCAAACAAGTGCATTTGAACTCGTTCATATGGTTGGAATCGATTCTCGGCAAAAAAAGTACAAGAAAGTTTTCTGATGCGTTTTCATTGACTGTCAGTATATATAGACAATATGTGACCTTGGATATGAAATTATACCTCTTTTCATCACATAATTAATTTTGCTAATTTCCCAACCCTTATATCTCCAAAAACTGACGGAAATACGCTCATAGTTACAACTGAACTTGAATACAAAGTCATATAATGAACGCCTCAAAACGTCCACATATTTAACCTTTTCCTAGTGTTCTTTACAGTAACATGAACCTCATATATTTCTCAACCCGTATTTCTCCACAACTAAAACACGTCCATCCAGAGCTACCATTAAACTTGCATAAGCTCAACCTTGCCGGTGGAGCAATACCTGGCGGCTTCGAAACTTTAGTTGTAAATTGTAAATAATCCATCAACACAATCTCTGCGTAGAATTATCCCTAATAATAAGCTAAACATGACCTATAAAATACCAAGAAGGCATTGTCACTACCACTACACTGACAGCAATCAATGGCGTCATAAACAAGACGAGATGTCAGTGCATAGTTGCAGCTATGCCAGAAAATATGCAGAACCGTTTAAAAACTCATAGCCGATTTTCAAAACTACTTTTTTCAAGTATTACTTTAAAAAAATATATATATTTTTTTACTGAAAAAGTTACTTTTATCTTTAAAAGTTACTTTAACGCCTTTTTTCAATAATGGCTTAATTCAGTCGGTTTTTATCAATTTCTTCAAAACCCATGTTTTTTTCTCCCAAAATGAAGTTAACTTTCTACAAATAAACAGATGTGCGTCTTCGGCGGTACAACTCAGAAATAGGTTAATTGGTATATGCGGGATTAGCGTGCCCCTCCACTGTATAAACCTGATCCCGTTGTCGCTGCAGTGTCGACAGTTGCTGATTCTCAGATTTGCTCTTGGATTTATTTACGCAGTAGGCCGCCAACTGAAAAAAGAGAACATATTTGTGGTGTTAATTTTTAAAACTATCAGAAAATATTAAGGCATTTTCTTCCGTTACCATGTCTAATGTAGCATTTTAACAATAACTCTATAATAGTATGAGCTTATATTCACCAACTACCAATGTGTGACTGGGTACCATCTTCTAACAGGATTGGTCCATCTATAATTTTTTTTTTTTTTTTTTGATAAATTGCTTTCAGCTTAAGCGGTTGAGAAGTCTGGCATGCCTAATGAAACTGCTAAACGATCATTAACCCCCCCATAGCAGATTCAGTATGCGTGACACACATCTAAGCCGCTAAAGCGAGAAAGCGAGAATCCTCTCGGAGATAGTTCGATCCAAAGGTAGTACGATAGTCTCTGGGTATGGTCTATATGACGTCATAAATCGCGTCAATACTAACCACAACTATGACGATAAGTAAGAAGAGACCGCCCAAACTGGCGCCAAGTATGATCCAAATCAACATCTCGTCACTCGCGGCCATGGCTTCTTCTTTCACTTCACTCCTGGCGCCGAACCCCGTGTCACTGTCCACCCATATTTCTTCGTGTAACTTTCTGTATTGATCTTGAGCCTGGGATGCTTTCTTTTCCTTCCTGTAAGATCTCGCCAAACCGAGCACCGTGGCTGAAAAGGCAATTCCGATATCAGGAAACTGTACTTACATCAAGATATGACATGCATGGAATGTCAAAATTAATACACGATATCAGCTGTTACTGCAAAATTCGTGTAGACAGTTTCCGGTAATGTTGAGACCACTTCTTGTAATGACTACAATCCATGACGTCATAACTAGATCCGCTTAAAAGACCACGCTATAAGTGCAAGTTAAATGATACCCCAATGTTTTTATATGTATATAGAATGTCTGCAAAAGTTCAATGCTTTCAAAATCAAATTCTGTAATAAATATTGGAAATTTGTTTCCTAAAATCAATCATGACATTACTTACAAAAGAATGTGGTAAGTTCAGTTTTCGATGGTATAGGATTTTAAAATACATACCAGCTCTGTTTGGGTACATGGCCTGAGACTGGACATAGAGGGCCGTTGCTGGCTCGTTGCCGTATTCGTGCATGATGTCTCCGTAGAATTCGTAGGTTGGTATAAACAGGAGAGTGGGGCTACTTGGCAGGAGAACCATGGTGTCCTGGATGCCAGTAGCTTGCTGCATCAGTTTGAGAGCTTCTGGGGATTTACCGCCACTGGAATAGAATTTGGATGACTTTTTTTTTTTTTTTGTACACCTATATTATTCACATAACTCATTCAATTATTTATATACAAGTATGTAATTGGTTGAGTATGAAGACCAACTATGTCCAAAATTGTTAAGAAAATTACAAACCCTAAATACAAACCCTAAATTCTGAATTTATTTCATTTTTCTTTTTTTGATTGACGTTTACTAGTATCGATCTCTTTTACGAGAGTAATTCAGAAACAAGAAACGATGAATATGAAATTGTATACCGTAAGGTATCCAACTTCTGACCATACCTGATTTCCCTAGCTGCCTGTAGTTGCAGTTTCAATATCTTCACAGCTTTGGTGACGTAATCCCAAGACGCCTTCGGTTCTGTTGCACTGATCAGAGCATCAATACGGGAGAGAGCGTCGTTAGTTAACTGCGTAGCGTTTGCAAACTTTAATTTCATGGCTTGCATTGCCCTAGATTGTAGATAACCAGCTTCCGTAAATGACGACCAAAACATGTCGCTTTCCAGCGGAACGTAGGCTGGAGGATCAAAAATTACCGGGCCCACCTAAGTAAGAAATGTCTTTATCACATGAAATTATTAAAATTAGTTAGACACAAAGAATTGTATCATTTATAAATAAATTAATTGATTAATCAATTGTCATCACTATTATTATTATTATTATTATTATTATTTACAATCACTTCAACATAGTAAAATAGCACATTGGTTCATGATCATGTCCTGAGATTCTATTTTTTTTAAAGGAGACCACAAAAGTAAACAGAGGGCCGCGGAAAGAAAGACTGTTGAAAGAAAAAAGTCTTAGATATAAACTGTCAAAACAGGGAAGTAAGCACGGGTATCTAAATGCTCACGTCATAGTTTCTTGACTCCAGATACTGGCGCGCAGCCATTCTGTACCAGGTCTGGCGGAAGAAAAGATCATCTGGTTTTGCCTGTATAACTTTGCGCATGCGCTCTAGTAATTGTGCAGCTTCTTTAAAACGGGCTTGCTGAAATAAGTATATACATGAAAAAATAAGCGATATCTGACTGCATATGAAACAAATAGATGTTGTTAAGTTAATTGAATGTTCATATAAAAATGTGGACACTACTTGTTGCCTTTCATATATTGTATCACCCTATTCTTTAATAAACTTTACTCAATTAGCTTTGTGGCCTGAAGGAAACTTTCCACAATGTATAAGTTGCGTATACAGTTTTAGAAGGTATTGATGATGATGACGAAGGCGATGCAGATATTCTGCAAAATTAAAAACTTTAAACAGAACGCTTTTTTTTTTTTTTTTTTTTGAGGGGGATATTTACGGGGCCGGTGTAACGTAACAAAGAGAAATAGACAGTCCTCTTTTCATTCTTTTGTACAGGTAAGCTTCGTCCTGGATTTTGGTTAACTAAGATCAGGGCTCCTTAATTCGAAAGCATCGCGTTTTGCGAATATCGACATCACATAGGGGCTACAATGCAATATACAGTATGGTGCGAATATGGGCGAGTTATAGAATCGAGACGCTTGCGCTCGGTCGCAATGCTCGATGCTTTCGAGATACAGGGCCCAGGCTAACCCTAACCATGGAAGGCGGACTTTCTATTACACGGGCCCTCAGTTTCATTACACCGGGACTACTTACTTGTAAAAGATAATACTGTAAGTACTCAAGAGAATGATACCGGTTCCACTTGTCGTAAGAGTCGCTCCCGTTCTTTCTCTCGTTCGTGAAATCATCCCCCGCTTTCAGGGCAACTCTCTCTACCTTGACCGCTTCCTTCCACATCCCTAGTCTTATGTAGATGTGCGCGGGCATGTGGTCGCCGTGCGACGCCTGAGAGACTATCGTGGGGTACCTGTCAGCTGCAGCCAAGCCCTTCTCCGCCACGCCCTCTTGATGGAAGTCAAAAGCGTGTAAGGCAAAATGGAGGCCGGCGGGATGGTTGGGGTCTGCCTTCAAAAGACTGGTTAAAACGTCTCTGGCTTCGTCTAGTTTGTTGAGTTCTAGTAACGAAATTGAGTAATAGGCGGCTGCGACGTGGTCGCCTGGGTATGCCTCTACCAGGGACGCCATTTTGGTCGAAAAATCTTGATCTCTTTGGCGAATATTTTCGTCGGTGGCATTCTTAAAAAGAGCCCGTACGGCATCGATGTACATTGTTTCATGAGCATTCATCGTCGGGTTGTTCTCGTCCATCCGACGCAAGATGGCGTTGGCGTCGTCCGGGAAGTCGCTGTTCCACAGAAACCACTTTTTGCACAGGGCCTCGCCCCAGTATGCCATGGCGAACGCAGGGTCCAGCTGCTGCGCCTTACGGAAAGACTCTTCGGCCAGGTCATGCCAAAATGATATCACCAGCTTCAGGCCAAAGATGAAATAATCCTGAGCATCGGCGTTGGCTGAAACGGGTAATGATACTCTAAATTAACTAAGAGATGATTACACACTTCACTTACTTAGATTTTAAGATTCTTATTATCGTTTGCTTTCATATACACCTCGTTTACTCTCTCTATTGAAAAAACGGAGTTCGTCTGAGTAAACGATAAGGTATACGTAGCAAATATGCTATTCGTATAATAAGGCAATGACTGATATTTATTATTATTATTATTATTATTATTATTATTATTATTATGGAAAATGTAACACAGATCCATACATACCAAATAAAGATAATTTGAAATTGTACAATCGTATTATTATAAGGTATAATATAATATAATAAATATAACTAACATTGTGTACTACTTGTACTATTTTCGTGACTCGCTGCCACTACAAAAAGTACCAAAGCTAGTAATATTTTTCTAATTGCCACGGAATATTCCGATGAATATATCCAAGGCACAGCGGAATGGCCTCGGGTCATATCTCTCGGACGCCTGTGCACGACACCAAAATCCCAACACACACCAAAAGGCATTACGGTTGTGCAATACGTGTGTATTATACAAGGACGGATTGTCGCAGAGTGCAGTCATGTCTACATCAGCACGTACTTTAGTGCTAAGCGCCGAACAGTAACCTATCATTATATATGGAGCCAGGCCGAGTGGATAGCCATGGACCATGTAATAGGCGACATCTTAGATGTCCTATAACTGGGTTATACAGTGTAGGCAGTTAAATGTATATTCTTCACGAGATGAGACAGCATGTATTACGTAGTGACTCTGTGTGTTTGTGAGTCTAAACAGTAAAGTTTAAGTGACTCATGAATGTTGCTTTGTAAGAGAAACTATTATATAGCAAAGTAGGACAGAGCCAAACTAGCATTTTATCGACAAATGAAGGTATTACATTGCTGCTTTATTTAATTTATTTTTTCTTTCTTTAAACACCCTTCTTTACGTGTTTAGGTGTCAAGGTTGAGATGTCGGAGTCCGAATCTATCGATAACTGAGTGTAGAACGTTGCTGTTTTTTGTTATTTTTAAAATATTTTATTTATTTATTTATTTATTTATTTATTTATTTATTTATTTATTTATTTACTGTTTTCAATTAATCCTCTTTACCTGTTGAGGTGTCAAAGTTGACATTGTCGAGTACGTCCGAGTCTATCTATAACTGAGTGTGAACTTTGTTGTTTTTACCATTAAAAAATATTTTATTTGTTCGTTGTTAACGCCTCCTCTTTTACCTGTTGAGGTGTCAAGGTTGACATTGCCTAGACCGTCACTGATCTTCCTCTCCCAGGGTTCCAGAGTGCAGGACACACCTGCCGTGAGTGACACCACTGTCAAGAGCCTGAGAGTAAACTTCCACATGCCTGATGTCAGTGCTTGCTAGAAATAAATAAATACATAATAATAATAATAATAATAATAATAATAATAATAATAATAATAATTTTAGAATATAAAATCTGTTCAACTGATTCCATGCAGCTAGACTCCCTACAAAGTTGGGTGGATCTACGTAGACTAATGGTGTAAATGGGAATGAAGCGTAACATTTCACCTAGATCGATCCAACTCCGCGGAGATACTTGCTGAGTGTAATTTGACTGACAGACACGCCCCCTTGTTCCCAACGTCCTGGCGGAACACAATTTCTTGGCAACGCCAGGAGGGGGCGTGTTAATAGTTTAATCTGATTGTATCCACAGAGTCAGCGTAGGTTACCCCGGTGTTGAGTCGACCTACGCAGCAAAACCGTTGGGAAGAGCCCTTTTTATTGTGTAAGGGCGCATTCCCCTTTATATTTAGATCGATCTATCCCCGTGGTGAGTCTCACTAGATTACTGTCAGATAATCCGGCTTAAATGTCCATCCCGCCTACTACAAGCTGTAAGGGGGTAATTAACTTTCGTGCACACTCGGCTGACAACTATTTAGCGTGAACCCCCAGGGAGTTTGGTCGATCTAGTTGGATCGATCTAATCTCTGGGAACGGGGTCTAACTGTTGAACCCTTGTGATGTACCGTAACGGTCACTGACCCAGATGATGCACCCGCTATTAGCATAAATATAGGTCAATCCCATCACAATAATAATAAGAAGAAGGAGAATGGATTCGCATATTTCCGCCTACGCACCGAGGTCTTTTTCTACTATTGAATATCCTCCCACTGTTGATAATACCGTCATTCCTCTCTACCGTCCTAACCCAGTTAGAAATATAAATTGATGGAACGATATGATCGTTAATTCTTGATATGAACAAATGTAGATTTTTCCTGCCTACACATTGTAATTCAACATTGTTGATTTGGATACAGTATACCTTGGTTCAGTTTCATCAACAATGGATAGCGCTATCTTATGGTCAAATATCCAATGGATAAAATTGTTATCCTCTGGACACTTATCCTATGGACACTTATCCTTATCTTATTAATGTTTCCTAAATGCTAGACACACTATTTTTTTATTTATTTTATTTTTTTTTTTTTTTGTTTCTAATGTTGCTGTCCAGTGATAAAAATGGCTGCTTTCTTCGAGACAACAGTCCATAGGATAACAGACTTATACAATGGATAGTGTTATCCTTGTTAATAAAGAGGATATATTCTTGTTTAACTCATCTAATGCCACTACGTACTAGTATATATTTCGCGCACGCTGAGAGCATTCATGAACGACGATGTGGACTTTATGGTAGTTAGTCACGCATAGGTATAAAACAATAAACGTAAACAAGTGAAAACCATTATCATGCTTCTGTTTTGAATCACCCTGGGCGTGTACCTTTTTTTAAAGAATAAAATAAAGAAAAGTTATAAAGATTATTCAGTCTTTCTGTCTTGACCATAAACCGCAGCAGGGAGACACGTGTGGAGATATATACTTAAAATATTCAAGACAAGCAAACATGGCCAAAGTAATAATATTGCGATTAACCTCATCAGTTTATCGTCCTACTTGAATGGAGCACTGTTAATAAGCGATGTGTCTCTTCTGGTTCATCCGTTTGACATTGTCAAGGTGTATTTATAAGTTACAGTTTATCATCCACTTAAACATACAAGACATTATCTGGACGCTTTAACACACCATACGGTCGACGATAGGTACTGTGACAGTTTAAAGATGTTTAACCCTCAAGTGACCGAGTGGGGTCATTTACGACCCCAGCCATATGATTTAATGTGCCATCTCTATATTTTTTATTCGAATTTTCTTTCCTTGCATGAGTTTGTCAGTCTACTAATCCTTTCACACTTTCACATTTTTTTGTAGGGATTAACCAATTAGTGTGGCGTATACATCACATACTCTTGTGGGGTCATTTATGACCCCAAAGAGAAGCATTGGTTCTTAAATATTAGTTTTTAAATTTTATTCAAATGTTTTGCCCATGTAACACTGACAGGAAAATGTCACATGCATGTGCTTCATGTAACCAGCCAGTGTGCCCAAAACATAGGCACAAATAAGTGGTTTGTGAAGATTGTGCTTGAAGTGTTACTAATAGTGCATCGCTGAATCTAATTTCAGTAGCTTTGCTGGAACTTGTTCTCATAACTGGGTCTCTCATTTTGACGGTTACAATTTTTGGGTATTTCGGAGTTCTAAAGAATTCTGTCGATATCATATTATACATATATTAACAAATTGTGTTGATTTTGTTTTATACATAGATGTGGTAGTAACATACATGTAGGTTGATTGAATGTGTTCTGAGTAGTATGACTTCCTTACCAGCATTAGGGTATTCCCTACTCAGAAAGTCAGCTAATTATTCTTATTGAAGTTATCTCAACATTAGTCAAAATATTTTTACTCAAAGTAATTTTGTAATGTAGTTTTTTCATTTAGTTTGGCAAATAAAAAGATAAATATTTCTGCAAGTGGAAACTGACAAGGACTGTCTAAATACCGGTGTAATGTTGTTCTTAAAATCGGTGCTTGGTTATTTCATGCAATAAAATTATTATTACCAAATACTTATTACATTAGATCATTATAAAATACTTGTTTTAAATCCTGGGAGTAGTATAAGTGTGATAAACCCTCAACAGCCTTTTATAATAAGGATCCCTGTTCAGGGCACAATGGGGTCATAGATGACCCCACTTGGTCATTTCAGTCGGTAAAATAGCTTGGTCTCTTGAGGGTTAAATATGGAGCCAAGATAAAAAGCACATCTACATTTTTTTTCAAAAGAGAGACCAATACCAAATGTTTTTAAGAGCTCATCAGAGAAATTGTGGGTCCAGATACGACATTCTAATCAAAATAAAGAGAAAGACACATATTACAAAAATATATATTCGTCCAGACACAAATTTCTCTCATTTTCATCTAATATACAAAATAGTACATTAAAAAGGCTATTAACATTTACAGTACCTCTCTCTCCAGAAGGGACCCTTGTGTTAATAAGTGTCCTAGTGTCTATATAGTGACCACTGCCTGGCCCGACTTGCTGTCAGTCAGAATAGAGGCTAGTCCTTATATTGGCCGGAGAGGCGTGAAAAAACACTCACCTATCTACGGTGTCCCTTGATATATTTATAATGTCCAAGTACGGGACAGTCACATAGCGTGACCATGACTGACACGTCTCTATTAACTTGCGGAGCTATATGACTTCATTTAATGGAAAGCTTCGGACTGGAGATCGGCAAGGCCGTGTATACGTATATGTATGATCAGGCCGGTGTGACAGAAATCCTAGGGATGGAAGCCCGGGCTCCCATATGATTAATACAGGTTTGGGTTAGTAGGAGCATTGCGGTTAGTATATGGGACGACTGTCAAAGTAATGGGGAACTGACTCGGGTCCTAGTGGGGCCCGAAAATTTTTGGTATATTTCAAGACGAACGGTGCAATTTTTTACGATTTAGGACTATGACAGACCATTAATTCCATGAGGGAACTACTGGTGTGATTTTTTTTCAGAAATCGAACGGGGGTTAGGNTTCAATAGTAATATTCCAAAACATACTAATCAATACTCACTACTGAATGATATTCGCAGGTGCACTAGTTACCGTTGTTTTTCATCCAAAGCTAGGCGCAAAAAGCGAGGACAGCTTGGTATCGCCAAGGTCTTCCGAGTTTGACTCAAAAACAATGAGTCATGGTACTTGTGTACGTATGATATGGTAATGATTCGAAAGATGCATATCAAACAAAAACTGTGCCCTTGTTGACCTGGGCTCACGTGTCATATTATATGAAACAAACAAACAAAAAATAATAAACTGATAATTAAATAAACAAACAAACAAAAGTGAATAAATAAATAAATACATTAATACATTGATAGATAAATAAATAAATAAATAAATAAATAAATAAATAAATAAGTAGGATCACATATAATCCATTGCAAATATCAAACATGTTTTTTGCGGCTAGATATCAATGGTCAAGTATCATTTTAAAGACCAAAAAGCAAAGAGAAAAAAAATTGAAGACGCAGACTTTATGGCGATGACAAAAAATAAATAAATAAATAAAATAAAATAAATAAATAAATAAATAAATAAAACGGCGGAGTTACCACGGAGCCACAGAATCTTCGTTGATAGGTTGCAGACCAAATGGACACGTTCTACTTTCTCACAGAGAGGACCAGTTTGGCTGTACATTTGCATATCTGACATAACAATCGAAAACCCGTGAAGCGCACATACAGGTAATGTATGTATTTCATCCCGCGTAACGCAGTCCGCGAACATGGTATGACCATCAACGTTGTTAAACCCCCTTTACACTGGACGGTGTCCTTTCTGCGTCCCGTTGTACGGTCCTGTTCGAGAGTCAAAAACAATAATACCTTTGCGTGCCGACAACTGGCCTATCATTGAGCATTCATTTGCAACCAAAGCGGTGCATGTGCCTTCTTTTCTACGACCACAGCGATACCAGGTTCACGGTCGCACAAAGGACGCAGAAAGGACGCCGTCCAGTGTAAAGGGGGTTTTAGTGTTCGTCATGTACACGAGGACGTACGTGGGAAGCCAAGACGGAGCGTATCTAAATCAATTATTAATTTCTTTTCTATTTTTTTTTTTTTTTTACTTTGACTTTGAATAATGCTGAGATTTAGTTTGGCTTCACCTATGACGTTAAAGAGCAGAATGGGACGTTTTTAGTTTTAGCAACCCTATTAGAAGAGGGAATTATGAAAAAAAAAAATCAAACACGTATAATCTGGTCGGCTTTCCATTCAAGCAACTGCGACAATGCCAATTGAGAGAATAATATATTTGTCAAATAAATCCGCCAAGAAGATATCATTGTTTTTCTGCTGAATGCAGTTTACAGGGTGTATGACGTGCTACTAGTAAGTTTTTTTTTTTTTTTTTTTTTTTTTTTTTTTTAATACAAGAAACTGTACCCGGAACGTTCTTAGATGATTTCAGTTGCTGTTGTTTTCATTTTGTTTTACACTGAATGTACGTTTGACTTCACCTTTGCGGTTATAGAACACGATGAGAGCCAAAGCGGTTCGTAAATAGACGGTTTTAGTTGTGAGTATAGTCTTTGTCATTTCAATTGTCCACTGCGTAACGCCAGTCCGCGAACATGGTATTATCATCAACGTTGTTAGTGTTCGTCATGTACACGAGGGCGTATTTCAGAAGCCAACACGGAGTGTTCCTAGATAAATTACTTCTTTTTATTAATATGGTTTTGAATAATGCTGAAATTTAGTTCTGCTTCACCTACGACGTTAAAGAGCACACCTACGACGTTAAAGAGACGGTTTTAGTTGTAGGAACCCCATTTTTGGTATCGACGTCGGCAAATTTATTCATCAGTAAAAAAGTTTATCAACCTTTTAATAAACCAAGCTGAAATATTTAATTAAAATGTTTCGAATGAAACCATCAGTTGACATAAAATACGTCCCTTTGGCGGTGTATTGCATCCACTTATTATGCACTCCTTTTCACGCATGCGCTGTTCACAATCGTGTTGTCTCGCTAATGACGGCTATGACCACTTTGTCTGGGTGTGCGTGATCATCCTTACGATCTGTGAGTGGACGGCGGCTGCAACAAAATAAAACAGTTAATACGATAATCGAACTACGTCTAAATACCAAAGGCAAGTTAACCCTCTGTCTCTCTCTATCTCTCTCCCTCAATTTTGGGAAATTTTCCGCCAATATTACCAGGCGCCAGGCAATCATTTTTACAGGATTAATCTTATTCATGTTAAACAAACTGTGCATAATATTTATCTAAATTGTTTTCTTTTTTTTTAGATCAAATGGTCTTACCCCCACCCCCAAACCACAGCTAAGTGCACTGAAAAGAACAACATACTGTTTAAAAGTGTTCGCGTCTTCTATCGTCTCGGGGAGGTCTCTTTTTGCAGTTTCCGGAAGAGGAATTGTACACACCGATCCAAATATGGCCGCCGCGCCGAATATCACAAGCGGTAGAGTATCCTTTCCAATGGCTTCCACTTTGATATCTCTCTAGAATGTAAAGATCAAAATTATCTAATGAGCAAAATAGGGCAAACAATAAAACAAGCAAATCCAGAATGAATCAAACATAAAGTTTATATATAAACAATACGGATGTAAGGACAAAATAAATAAATAAAATAAGTAAATAAATAAATTAAGTAATATTAATGAACTAATAAAGAAAATAATGAATTGATTAATTTAGAAGTAAATTAAGAAATTAATTTATTAATAAAGACATTAATGAAGGAACTTATACAAAATACGAAAAGTACATTTCCTCAAGGCACGTTTTGCATTAGCTTACCACAATAACAGGACAGAGCATATTCCCGAGGGCTGCAGACACGGATCCCAGTCCCATACTGAAGTTACGAGTGACGGTGGGAAATACTTCTATACTCCAGATATATAAGACATTATACGCTGCTGTCATACCAAATTTTCCGATCGCAAAAAGTGCGATCTTAATATAGTGAGTAGATTCTAAATCTGAAAGACAAAATCAATATTGTTCATTACATGCAACTATTCCGGTACATTTAAAAGTGCCTAAAGCTACTAATATATGTATATGATAAAAACAAATAAATGTAAATGTATGTGCCTGTACAAAAAAGGACTCTCTCCGAAATTGGTGGATGACTTTTGCTGCAATTTTTTTCTCTACAATCACGGAGTAATTGCTAATTGATTGTGTGTGTGTGTGTGTGTG